AAAATAGTGGAGGGTGCTTGATAATATTTCATTCTTTCAAAGCCCATGAATACTAGAGCTAGTGAAATAGTAGTACCTAAAATATAATTTTTCAAAATATCAACTACATATTGTAAAAATTTTAATCCTACAAACAATTTAAAGACATTTCCAGTATATTCAACTAGATGTGTATGATTGAATCATGCAATCAAGATCAAAATGATACAATGGTTGTGCCAAAATGATTTTTTTTTACGTTCACCGTTAGAATAAAAATACCAAGATATAATTTCTTGACACGTCACTAGGCCAAGATATAGCATTGGTATAGACACACAAAAAGCCCATAGGCCATAGTATAAATCATTNTGATACAATGGTTGTGCCAAAATGATTTTTTTTTACGTTCACCGTTAGAATGAAAATACCAAGATATAATTTCTTGACACGTCACTAGGCCAAGATATAGCATTGGTATAGACACACAAAAAGCCCATAGGCCATAGTATAAATCATTGGTGATGCACTTAAGAGCATATATGTTCAATAATGTCTCATTTGGTAAATGCCACTTTTGAGATTTCTCACGAATGATAAAAATAAGAGTAATGTCAGATGGATTTAAAAATTAAACTTAAGAATTAAACTTGATAATCTCAATAATTGAATATGTAATAGATCTTAATAAATGATGGGACTCATAATAAAATCAATGGTTGAAATTATCAAATTTATTTTTTAAATTTATGTAGNAATGTTCAATAATGTCTCATTTGGTAAATGCCACTTTTGAGATTTCTCGCCAATGATAAAAATAAGAGTAATGTCAGATGGATTTAAAAATTAAACTTAAAAATTAAACTTTATAATTTCAACCATTGAATATGTAATAGATCTTAATAAATGATGAGACTCATAATAAAATCAATGGTTGAAATTATCAAATTTATTTTTTAAATTTATGTAGCATTGCTCTAAAAATAAACATGTTCAATGGTGAATCATTCTTGGTTCACAAACAAATATACATACTCTACAATGGGACAGGGCCCTCTTAGTTTGGAAGGCTGGGATGATCATCTTTTAGAAACCTCATTTTGGGCCTTGTTTTGAGCACATGCATCACCAAATCTTTGCGAGTTTTTACTATGTCATTGTTTTTACTTGTTCAAAGAAAAAAAAAAATCCCATATCATGTGTTCTTTTTTTAAAAAGGAACACACACAAGAGAATATATATAAATTTTAAACATATTTTACCCGAGACTAACAAACTCAAATTCAAGCANGAGTTTTTACTATGTCATTGTTTTTACTTGTTCAAAGAAAAAAAAAATTCCCATATCATGTGTTTTTTTTTTTAAAAAGGAACACACACAAGAGAATATATATAAATTTTAAACATATTTTACCCGAGACTAACAAACTCAAATTCAAGCACTACTTCCAAAAGGGTCGATATGGAGAAATTACTATTAACAAAAAAACTACAATTAAATTAGAACTAATGAAATTGTGGGCAAAAGGAACTACTAAAGTCATTGGCAAAAATCATTATTGGGCCTTAAGTTTCACTTAAGCATAACTATCAAAATGTTCCAATCAACCCCTTTTGTCTGTCTCCATCCAAATCAACTAACAGAAAAAATGGATTTGTGCATTGGTCGACTCTGTCTCTAAAGGGTTTTTTTATTTTTGCAACGGAATGTTCGAATCAACCTACATATATCTCAATTAATGTAATAGTGGTTAAGCCACCCGAGTAATCCTGATTTTATAATTAGGATGCAGTTCTCTAATGAACTGAACAAAGAAGATGAACAATCAAGAACTCAAAAAAACATATCCTCGCACACAAATATAATTGAACAGAGGAAAAATACAACCAAGAAAGACGAAAAAGGAACGTATCGCAGCACTTGAATGGGCTACAAAACTAAATAATTAACTGAGAGATTGGTTTAATCTCCAACACAATTGGTGGAACTGTTGAAGACCCCAGACAAACTGAGTGCACTCGAGTTGTCTCTTTATACCATTGCCACTTGCAGGAGCTTCTCATGCGGGTGGGGTGGTTGGCTTTAAGCATATGCCTCTAGTGTAGCCACCGAATGATCTCCTCCAGAATCATATAATCCTGTATATATGCTCGAGATTAATCACCCACCCTCAAAAATTCATGTAGCCTTCTTAATATTCTATTCATTGATCAATTGACCTACAAACTGGTTCCTTCTTCAATTTGCAATCTCTTTCCTCCAATTTGCATTCTCTTTCCTCCAATTTGCTTCTGCATTTCTGTATATGTAAACATTCATCACAGAAAAAAGTGGGTGTATATATATATATGTCCTGTAATCTCAAGAGTTCCTTCCAAGTTCCACCAACAAGAAACTCCATGATTCATTGAATCTCTGTGGTCATCTTCTCACTCCTACTTCACCTGCATATACTCCACGACCCTCTTTTTGTTCTTTGAACCTCCTCAAAACCCCCTCCACAGCAATATCAAAANTTGATAAACCACTAATTAGAAGTTGGTCATGGGCTCGAATATTCCATGAAATGTAATCCCTTGAGACCACCACCCATAAATTTATTCTATAAAAAATGTTATATAATCTAAATAGAACCCAAAAAACGTAGCGCAAATGTATATAATATCTTGGATGAGTGTTAAATGAGTAGGTCTCATTGAAAAAATTGATGAAACTTACTCATTCAATAGATGATATGTATTTGAGTTGTAACTTTTTGAATTTCTTTTCAGTTGTATATCATTACCTAGGAAGCACGGATACGGATACGTGACATGGGTACGATACGATACGAATACGGCGATACGGCAAAACTTAAAAAAATAAGATACGGGTACGGCCAGGATATGTCTATAATAAAATATATTTTATATTTTATTGTTATTTAACGACTTAGAAATTACAATTTTTCAATAATTCTTTAACATTAGTAAATAAAATTAGAAATTTTTACCATAAAAATGTTATAATATCATCTCATTATAATCTGTTCATAAAATGAGCATGACAAATTAAAGGAATTATAATAACATTTAACTAGTTGATTTTACAAGTATATATTTTTAAAAGTATAGTGTAAATGATTCATTTTTTTTATACTCTCTTAACATATAATAATAGATAATACTTAAAAAACATTCGTGTTTTTAAAATCAAATGAAATTTTGTTGATGTTTTATATTGTATGTGAACTCCAAATAAGGGTTATAACTTAAAACTAAAAATTGTACATCTTACACCATGTTTAGAAGTATCCGTGAAGTATTCACATATTTTATTAATTATCGGATACGGATGATACGTATCATCAAGTATCCGATACGGTATCGTATACGGATACGTCGACCTTGACGAAATATCCATGTTTCATAGATCATTACTCTTATCCTCATTTTGTGTAGAGAGACAATTTTGCACAAGATACAACATTAGTCTGGCATGTGAGTGACAAAAATTGTGGTGATCTATGAAGATAGCTAGAATATAAAAATAATAATGTTCAATTATATTTTAGAGTTATTTTTATTAGTAAGGGAAAAAAAGAGTTGAGGTGAGGGACTAACGATAAATGCTTAGCAGGTTGCTACAATTTCAAGTTTATTCATACCTCAAAAAAAAAAAANAGACTCATAATAAAATCAATGGTTGAAATTATCAAATTTATTTTTTAAATTTATGTAGCATTGCTCTAAAAATAAACATGTTCAATGGTGAATCATTCTTGGTTCACAAACAAATATACATACTCTACAATGGGACAGGGCCCTCTTAGTTTGGAAGGCTGGGATGATCATCTTTTAGAAACCTCATTTTGGGCCTTGTTTTGAGCACATGCATCACCAAATCTTTGCAAGTTTTTACTATGTCATTGTTTTTACTTGTTCAAAGAAAAAAAAAAATCCCATATCATGTGTTCTTTTTTTAAAAAGGAACACACACAAGAGAATATATATAAATTTTAAACATATTTTACCCGAGACTAACAAACTCAAATTCAAGCACTACTTTCAAAAGGGTCGATATGGAGAAATTACTATTAACAAAAAAACTACAATTAAATTAGAACTAATGAAATTGTGGGCAAAAGGAACTACTAAAGTCATTGGCAAAAATCATTATTGGGCCTTAAGTTTCACTTAAGCATAACTATCAAAATGTTCCAATCAACCCCTTTTGTCTGTCTCCATCCAAATCAACTAACAGAAAAAATGGATTTGTGCATTGGTCGACTCTGTCTCTAAAGGGTTTTTTTATTTTTGCAACGGAATGTTCGAATCAACCTACATATATCTCAATTAATGTAATAGTGGTTAAGCCACCCGAGTAATCCTGATTTTATAATTAGGATGCAGTTCTCTAATGAACTGAACAAAGAAGATGAACAATCAAGAACTAAAAAAAACATATCCTCGCACACAAATATAATTGAACAGAGGAAAAATACAACCAAGAAAGACGAAAAAGGAACGTATCGCAGCACTTGAATGGGCTACAAAACTAAATAATTAACTGAGAGATTGGTTTAATCTCCAACACAATTGGTGGAACTGTTGAAGACCCCAGACAAACTGAGTGCACTCGAGTTGTCTCTTTATACCATTGCCACTTGCAGGAGCTTCTCATGCGGGTGGGGTGGTTGGCTTTAAGCATATGCCTCTAGTGTAGCCACCGAATGATCTCCTCCAGAATCATATAATCCTGTATATATGCTCGAGATTAATCACCCACCCTCAAAAATTCATGTAGCCTTCTTAATATTCTATTCATTGATCAATTGACCTACAAACTGGTTCCTTCTTCAATTTGCAATCTCTTTCCTCCAATTTGCATTCTCTTTCCTCCAATTTGCTTCTGCATTTCTGTATATGTAAACATTCATCACAGAAAAAAGTGGGTGTATATATATATATGTCCTGTAATCTCAAGAGTTCCTTCCAAGTTCCACCAACAAGAAACTCCATGATTCATTGAATCTCTGTGGTCATCTTCTCACTCCTACTTCACCTGCATATACTCCACGACCCTCTTTTTGTTCTTTGAACCTCCTCAAAACCCCCTCCACAGCAATATCAAAAGCATCTCTGAAACCCTCCAAACCCTTACCAGGCCTTGCATACACAATTCTGGGAATGCTCTCTATTACTTTCTCTCTCATCCTCCTCACCTCTTCCCCACTATATCTCTGCAATACGTCTCTGATAGATGTCCCGTTCCTCACATCCTCATGGTCTATAAACACCGACCAACTCTCCGGCTCACCCGGCAAGAACCAGTCGTACTGATCATAAGCCGTTCTCTTCCAGAAAAAAACCGGCACCGAACCGGCCACCATACAATCAAACACTGATCGCCTCGTATAGCTATCGCCTTTGGGTTGCAAACAGAACTTGGAGTCCAACAGAGCTTCAAGGATGGCTGAAGTACCATTCGAGCACTGAGTCACGGCACAGTCCACGACTCGGCACGAGTCTGACTCGTTATAGCAGTAACTCAGTAAGAAAGCTCTGAAATCATTCTCGATGCTGCCACGTGCCGCCCCAATGAAGGTGAATAGACTTGAACGGTTGCGATTACGTACGAAGCTTTGCCATTGTACGACGTCAGAGTCGGAACTAGGGTGGAATCCTGTAGGGTAAGGTACACCGACATCATAGTCGTCCCCCGGAGCTTTCTCAATGGTGAAACGAGTAACGTTCTGCATCAGCGGCATATTAAGGAAACTGGACCCCCAGAGCTTTAATGGGTCAGTCAACCGTCGGAAATCCCATGTGATTCGAGACAGAGTGATAAAGTGATCTGAACCGTTGGCTCTTTGGTAGTACGTTTGGTTCAGGACCCACCTTAGCATCATTTCACAGTGCCAATCACGCATCTTAGTATCATTCCGCCATAGATTTTTCCCAACTGCGAGTCCAGCGTAAAATGGTATGTAGAACGCCGTAGCAGATTCTGGGTCCAGCGTCCTACACTTGTAATTCAGAAGCCTGTAATGAAAAATAACCTCCGACGAGAACTGGTTCGTCCGGTACGACGTCGTAGCTAAATTTCCGGGTAATATTCCGACGAACTCAGTGGCTCTGCGGCCGTAGCCATCATTTGAAATGATACCGCACTGCCAGTTCCATGGGTCTAAGTCATCGCAGCTGGCGAGTAAGTCTTTGTTGAACATCGGCGGGAGATCGTAGACATAAACTTTGCCGGACCGACATTCATCGGGGCTGAGTACGGCGGCGACCGGAGGAGGATTGAACGTACGGATTGGTAGTGATGGTGGTGCTGTGTGAGTGATAAGGAAGACGAGGGCTTGGATAAAGAGAAAGGAGGTGAAGAGGCAGAGATAGGGGTGTACAGAGATACGAGCCTGAATTGAGAGAAATGCGTTCCGAATCAGCTGGAAATTTTTGGGTTTGTTGAGGGTTTGAAGTTGAGACGATGGATGATTGAAGCTCATGGGAAGCATTTTACTAAAGAGTAAAGGTGTTTAGAGTAGAGGGGAGAAAGGNCCAATAAAATAATTAAATCCTTGAGGTCACCGTAATCCTATTGAGATCTAGATCTCCAAGAAATCATCACGTACTGCAACAAAAAGATTATCTTCAAACATCCCATTACTAAGATTAATACCAAAAACTGCTAAATTACAGCAATTCATTGTCATAGTACAGTACTGAACCATCACATTACGAGTGTGACTGTACCTGAGGCTTCCCAGGGACCACGGTGATACAATCTTTACAACCCAGAAGCCGCTCATCGCCGATAAGTGGTCTGATATGAACTGCAACTTTCACACAGCAATCCTCACTTGCCGCTGCTTCCATTGGAAGCAGTTAGGGTCAGATAGGGAAAGAAAGAACCAAAAAAAAAAAAGTTATATATATATACAGAGAAAGAAAGATCCAAATTATAGAGAGAGAGAGAGAGAGAGGACACGAGGGTGGCATAACGGGTTGAAGAGTTGAAGTATACAACTACCAGCAAAGCCATAGCACCGACAATTTTTTCTTATTACGAATTTTAAATCTGCATTTTGTTTTTGATTTTCTAAGAAAATACATGTCAATAAGTAGGAAAAAAAAATACGAAAAATTATTTTTAAGTCATTATCCATATGATTTTTTTTTTTTTTGAATGAATCCATTACGAAATGTTATTATCAATCATTTGTGACTTTTTCGGCCCAAGTTTTAACTGGACTTTTTAAAAATTATAATTTGACCTTAATAAATTATAATTTTTATAATTTATCATAATATTTAATATCAATTATATCTTTTATAAGTAGCAATTTATACTCAAAAAAATTATAAATAAAATCTTAAATAATTATAATTTTTAATATTATTTCCTCCAAAATTTAATGCAACAGCTTTGAAATTATGGATTTGTTCTAAATATAGTCACTTTCTACAAAAATATGAGGTGTTATACTTTTCTAAAAGAGATTATGAGATACTTTCATTTAAACGGAATAATTGGGTATTATTTTACCCTTTTTGTACATTGTAAATAATTAATCAGTTATGATTTAATAAATTTAAAGTTTATTTGATTTATGATTTTAATTATTAATCAGTATTGATTTATGATTTTATATAGTGCCAAAATTTATTTGACTTTGATACAATAATTTTGACATTTATTGCTTTTTACCTCTCTGCCAATGGCATTTATTGCTTTTTATCTATATGTACACTTTAGATGAGTTAGCAAATATGTTCAATTATAATCCCAATGGGTTGATCCAGTAGTAACTAAGTCATCTGATAAACCACTAATTAGAAGTTGGTCATGGGCTCGAATATTCCACGAAATGTAATCCCTTGAGACCACCACCCATAAATTTATTCTATAAAAAATGTTATATAATCTAAATAGAACCCAAAAAATGTAGCGCAAATGTATATAATATCTTAGATGAGTGTTAAATGAGTAGGTCTCATTGAAAAAATTAATGAAACTCACTCATTTAATAGATGATATGTATTTGAGTTGTAACTTTTTGAATTTCTTTTCGGTTGTATATCATTACCTAGGAAGCACGGATACGGATACGTGACATAGGTACGATACGATACGGAAACGGTGATACGACAAAACTTAAGAAAATAAAATACGGGTACAGCCAGGATACGTCTATAATAAAATATATTTTATATTTTATTATTATTTAACGACTTAGAAATTATAATTTTTCAATAATTCTTTAACATTAGTAAATAAAATTAGAAAATTTTATCATAAAAATGTTATAATATCATCTCATTATGATCTGTTCATAAAATGAGCATGACAAATTAAAGGAATTATAATAACATTTAACTAGTTGATTTTACAAGTATTTATTTTTAAAAGTATAGTGTAAATGATTCATTTTTTTTATACTCTCTTAACATATAATAATAGATAATACTTAAAAAACATTCGTGTTTTTAAAATCAGATGGAATTTTGATGATGTTTTATATTGTATGTGAACTCCAAAAAAGGGTTATAACTTAAAACTAAAAATTGTACATCTTACACCATGTTTAGAAGTATCCGCGAAGTATTCACATATTTTANGGGTTATAACTTAAAACTAAAAATTGTACATCTTACACCATGTTTAGAAGTATCCGTGAAGTATTCACATATTTTATTAATTATCGGATACGGATGATACGTATCATCAAGTATCCGATACGGTATCGTATACGGATACGTCGACCTTGACGAAATATCCATGTTTCATAGATCATTACTCTTATCCTCATTTTGTGTAGAGAGACAATTTTGCACAAGATACAACATTAGTCTGGCATGTGAGTGACAAAAATTGTGGTGATCTATGAAGATAGCTAGAATATAAAAATAATAATGTTCAATTATATTTTAGAGTTATTTTTATTAGTAAGGGAAAAAAAGAGTTGAGGTGAGGGACTAACGATAAATGCTTAGCAGGTTGCTACAATTTCAAGTTTATTCATACCTCAAAAAAAAAAAAAAAAAACAGAGTCTAATAGATTTTTTTTTTTTTAAGTTTTTATAAATAGGTATGACTAATAAAAGAAGTTGTGGACATGAGAAACCAGCCGGCGGAGGTGAATCCAATTTTAGTCTTTGACCTGAAATAAGGTTTTGGGGCAAGATTTCATGGAGCAAATTATGCCTTGATTGGTTGGGGATGAGTAAGATAATTAGATTGATGGAGACCCACTAAAATTTTTATTTGGACCCTAAATCTCATACCATGTCAAACGATGAGTAAAAGGTAAATCAGAAATTCTTGAGTTAGAATTTCTTTAATGGCATCGAATTTGAGTTTAATTGATACACTTATTTTACATCTATATAATAAAGTAGTTTACAATTTAAATCTCAAAAGATAAACAAAATGACTTTTACTATTCGTGGTTGAAATCGCTTTAAATCTTTCTTTAAGATTAATCTAATAACTAATATTAATACACTAAATTTAATAGCAAAAATAAGACTTAAGAGTGTGTTTGCAGTGATTTTTTAAAAATATTTTTAAAAATTATTTTTCATAAATACTTAAAAAAAAAAATAATGTTTGAAATAGTCTCACCACTATCTCTACCATCGTCGCCGCCACCACCACCACCACGGCTACCACCACCACCACCCCTACCACCGCCCCCACCCTCGCCCCCTCCTCTAGTCCCCATTACCACCCACCACAATCATCACCATCTTTTACCACCACTACTGTCGCCCACCACCTCTCACCCTCACTACAAAACGCTACTTAAATTCATTTTTTTTTTTTATGTTTGTGATTTGATTTTAGATATAAATACAAATATGTTTATTGTTACTGTGTGACTTCATGCACAGGCAATAACTAGTTTGCTTATATTGACTCTAAGTAAAAGAAATTATTCTAACTCTGATAAGGATTCATGAACTCAATACGAAATTAATGAATTTAAATTTATGTTTAACTAATTTGTGTGATAAATAGATAGATACCTTAAACACATTAGAAAGATTAGATGACAAACATATATCTACACATAATTATAATTTTACTAAATTTTTATAATATATAAGTTAAACATGATATGTTTTATTAACCGTCATAAATAAAAAAAAATCCCCAAAAAAAAAAGAAGGTCAAAATTTTTGACCAACCTCATAACACATATAATTACACTTGTCAATTGTTTGATGCGAAACAAGTTCGTTTCATAAAACACTTCATTCATATTTAATTTGTGTTTATCAAGTTGTATCATTCCAAGTTCGTATCGTGTATCAATCATGTATAATCAATACATAAACAAATCATGTTATGTATTTCTTTTGACTAACTCTAACTATATTCGATTTATTTATTAATTTTGTCGTATCTGGTTCATTCATATATGAAACGAGCGAAAAGACCAAAATTTTTTTAACTTTATATCATATTCGTGTTATTTTAACAAATCATATTATATTATAACACCCTATCATATAATAAAAGGACTTGTTGCCGCTTTAGCCGACTCACAAGCGAAGTTCATGGTTGAAATAAAGACTGAGATTCACGAGAGTGTTTATCTTCAAGAACATTCATTGGTGGGAAGTCATTGTTAATGCATACGTGTCACCATCCTATTTACAAACAATTTGTTGACAAGTCAATTTAGGAGAGACAAAAATCACAAAACTACAAAATATCACGTGACATACCTACCATAGGTTGTCCGTTTTATCGCCCATTTTTTTTTTATAATTTTATTCAATAATAGATCATTAATTACGTATTAATGTAAGATTTATTATTTATATATAAATCTCTCATTTATATTTGATTGATGAATTTTTATTCACTAAATTAGTGTAAAAATAATAATGGAGAACATCTAGATTGGAGTGACCTTATCGGAAAGTATAAAAGTTGCACAGTAATTTTTGGTAATAATGTTTCCAATACCATGATTTTGTAATATTATTATTATTGAAGTTTTTGCGTCACTTGTCATGATACTAAAACTGCTATATAATAGTTATTGAATTGTTAGCAGCTCCCGATTAATAGAAATATTTATTGTCAATTTAATTACAGAGAATAATTAAGTCAACAAATAAGAGACATTTAAACACGAGTTGATATTTTATAGACCAAATTAACAAAAATAATATGTTAAAAAATAATTTGACAAAAGTTGCATAACAAAAATGTACCTTGCCACATTTAATACAGGGTAAATTTAAACGAACCAAAATCAGGGACAAAAAAAAAATATTTGGTTAGCACGTCAGAATCATATATATATATATATATATTTTAGTTCATATTGTTTTTGTTCAGTTTCATAGGGTCTAGTGTATACTGGCCGACCCTATGGTGTAAAAATAAAAGCATGGGCTTTAAGTCCTGCGTATAAAAAAGGCTCTAAATTTAAAGATCAATTATGCAATATAAGTTAAAAAATAAAATTTAAACAAAATAATTTTTCAAAGAGTAAAT